AAAAGGCTTCGGTGCCCCTTTTAAGAAAACTTCTGCAGTTTCACCTTGCAATCCGCTTGAACCATAAATAATAATAATAATATATACAATATTAGTGTCCATGCCACTTCTTTTACCCATATCAAATTATATTCAAAGCCCAAAACAAAAATAAAGAAAGATGAAAAAAAGGGAAAACATGGGGATGGGATCCTCTACTAATGAGGACTATTCCTAAGATCTCCTCATGAGATCTTGGCATTTGATTTATCAATCAAAGGTCATGATCTCCTCATGAGGAAAAGTAGGGAGGAGAAAGAGAATGAGATCTTAAGCTTTGATTGATAAATCAAAGACCAAGATCTCCGATAATTATCTTCTGATACCAATATCCTGTCACTAGAGCATAGATATGGGGACAATCTAACCACATTAATTGCTTATTAGTTGAAGACTTTGATTTGCATCTAGACAAGCTAGTGAACATGAAAAAGACAAAGTCCCGATACTCCGAACTCAGCTGACATGATCAATAAATGATGATTTACAATGTGAAATCACCTTGCAGATCTCTTTATTTCCCAGACATGCAAAATATTTACATGTAAAAATATCCATTTCACAGCAACTTAAGCATGTTCTTATTATTAAGCTTGGAACTGACATTATTGCCGTTTTAAACTAAATAACCCTGAAGATGCTTTCACATATCCCGAGTGGCACTGATCCTGCACTTTGAATTAGTTGATTATAGATCTAACTTTGTATCGGAGGATTGTCTGCGTCGTAATTTTAGGTAGCCAAACTTCCCTGCACCTGGGGATGAGCCCTCGAAGATAAATGGTAGATGGCCTGTGGCGGCATAATACCTCTGCTGGATCTGGGAACCACAATGAACACTATTAGGAGGCAGATTACAAGTAATAAGCAATGAAAAATCTATAATTTTTGTGAAAATGAACCGAAACAATAAAAGTTTGGTTGTAACTGAAGTTGCATGCAATCGACACATTTTATGCAATGCAGTTGATTGAAAATTTTGTCATTTGCATGCAATACAATCGCAATTGGAACGTTGTTGCAATTGAAATTTTTTGAGATGCAAACAGGATTTAAATTATAATTCCAATTGCAATTGCAACAAAAATACTGGAAGAGATAAAGATCAGAATAATTTTGTCACTAAGGTCCTTTCATTTTAGATTCACAGCATTTTGCATCAAAAGAACTATATATCAATGCTTCACTTACGTGTGCTACTTCACTCTTTTAAATGCTGGAATTAGAATGGTCTAGCCCCAAGATGGCATGCAACAAGTGTAGTAATCGGTAATTACTACACTTATGAGACAATTAACAGATCAAAAACCACGCATCAGGTTTAAATGTTACCTCAAGAATTTCTTCATTACTTCGAATACAGTTCTTTCCAATAACACAAACTGAGCCACCTGAGCCCCCTCCGGTGATTTTTGCACCATATAAACTCGAACCATCACTGTGAGAGGACCTGCAGTGTTGCATTTCTTGAACTAACTTGACCAGCCTATCTGTTCCATCTGATCCCAGTCCGCAGTCATTGTAGCTGTAGTGGCACTGCATCAAAGTGGTAAAGCTATGAGAAGAGAAACTTCACAAACAGAAGAAAGCTATGACTCTAGAGCAGTAACAAAAAAATGAACACACTGTGAAATGTTCCGTAGAACAAAAACAAAAGAACAAAAAAGATAGCATGCAGGTTAAATTAACAGTTGATTGAAAAAGAAAGAAGCAAATTTCACAGACAACTAAGTATTAAATTTAAATTAGAGTGAATCAAAATGTCATTCTTGATTCATGAGAATCTTCGAGACGCTTGCTAAATATATTAATACTTTCAACATAAACTGCAGCGCAAGTAAGAAAAAAAATGTAGAACTAAAATGGTCTGGTCTAATTGGTTAGTTTCTGGCTCCACAATATTGTATCTTTCCAACAGGTATTCCTGACAGACAGGCAACTTAAGGAATTCTACAGAAACATGGTAAGAATTGGTAAAGGCATTGGAATGTGACACGGAGGTGACAGTTTGCCAACAAACATAATCGCAATCAAAGGAATTTCCTTCTTCCCTAGAAGAGAGGACTAGAGTTATCCGCCTTGCTCATTTGAAAAAGGGAAAACAGTCTGAAGGAATACTAGAACGCTATACAAGATTTAAAAAAAAAGAAGAGGAACATGAAATTTTAGTTGTTTACCTGGTACATCAGTTCTCCAAGTGCTGAAAGCTGCTCATCTGTTGCTGCTGCTGTTAATAATGCTTTAAAGGCCTATAAACATCAACCATAGGGAAGTAAGTACTAATGTAGGTATGATGAATCTTATTGCAGGTTTGTTGAGAAAAAGCAACATTACTTAACAACATAATCAGTTCTCACAAAATCTTCAGCATAAGAACCTAAATTTGAGTATAATCCTCCTTCAACCTCTCAGATAAAATGAAGAATTTCCAATGGCTAGTCACAGTTGTTCTTGTTAGCCATACATATAGCAAGGTACCAGCGCTTATGTTTCTAACTCAGTCTAGTAGCAGCATAACAAATAAATAAAATTCTTAAGAACTCCCTAACAAATTGTGAAGATGGCATACCACAGAAAATAATCCATTCAATGCATAAAAACTCGAAAATTTTGCATTCTAATTCAAAAAAGATCCAACTTTTATAATATTAATAAACTAACTTTATAGGTTGCACTTTATAACTCCTAATGCTGCACATTTTGGATTTATAATTTATAACTTACCTAACTTCAGTAACTCAAGTAACCAACAGAACTACACAAAACAAAACAAGAGCCTGAAAAGGATGAGTGCATAGACAGTCTATGCAACATCAGTAACAAAAACGGACCCGTTTACAAAAGATAAGTGCAAACCTCTACTCGGAACTTCTCATAAATCGGATGTTTGGCTGGTGCTTTGACTGCATATTTGCGGTTGGGATCTATTACGGTTACTGTATCATTGTGATTGGCATATTTGTTCAAAAATGACTCTCCTAGTATGGATTCTGGAATTTTCTTAGCATATACGGCTTCATATCTGCAACAAGGGAGAAAGTATAATGGCATGTCTATTCCATGCTCTTCATACTCATTGCATGTTAACAACTACAAAATAACTAATGTAAAGGATCATACCTGTGAGGAGAAAGGTTGCATAAGTAATCAAGAGATGCTTCGGCTTTGACTAGCTCTATGCCATGTTCTTCATACTCATCATGGTTCATGTAACCTTGAGGAGCATTTGGACCTGGCAGTGAGCGAGTCAACAAGGCAGCTGCCTCAGATTTTATAATCTTACGCCCCATAAAGGTTCCAATTCTTACAGATCCATAATCAGTCCCGCCAACACTGCACAATATACTTATTCAGAAAAACATAGACATATGCAAGTACCACAAATCATTCTCAGAAGTTCTTCAAGAACAGGATTAGAATACTCTTTTTAGGAACAAAGATCAGTATGCTCAATAACACACGCTTGCAATACCGATGAAATTAACTGTTGGCATTGATACAAATATCAACAATGAATAGTAAGAACATATAGCTGATAAAAGAAGAAAATATAAGATACCTGTGCCTTATTCCTGAATCAAGACCCCAAAATCGTATATGGGTTGGGATGGTGACAAGCTCCTTTACTTCAGCAGGCTGCATGAAAAATATAAAAGATGTAAGACGCTGAAAAATGTGTAGTAGTATTGGGCACACTCTGGCACGTGGTTGATCTGGCTAACAAATCAGAAACCAAACCAAATGTGTGGGCAGGCATTAAAGACCTTTTCTAAATCAAGTTTATCATAGCTTATGAGCTCCTTAGTCATGCCAGACTGAAGCCAAAGGTAATTTTACACGTTCCTAGTAATTAGGGGTGGAAATGAACTAAATAATTAACAAATAGTTTGTCAATTGTTCGAGAAAATATAAGGCCATATTCAATTCGGTAGTTCATTTAATGCTAAACAAATAGTTTTCAGTATTCAAGTTCAAAAACGAATATAATTTAACCAAATGCATACTGGATTCATTTGCTTATCAAATATTAGTTAAGAAATTCATCGCTTATAATTTTTACTATTACATACACGATATTATATTTTCAGCCCACTTACATTTTCGATTTAAGTTCTATATACTAATTTGGAGAGACTTAAAGATTCTTAAATTAATTTTTTAACAAAATATTCAAATTAAATATAGATACATCATAATTATAAAGGAACAATTTTCAATTACAAACTTGAATATTATTTGAAAATCAAATTCTTCAGCAATATGAATATACTTTAATATTCGATAACCAATCGTGAATATTTATCAAATATAGAGTATTCAAGTTCGAATTAAAAAAAAACTCTAGAAATGGATATTCGAATTCAAATTGGAATACGGAAATTTTAAACAAATGCTAATACCAACACCTTAGTATCCGATTCGATTCGGTTCGACAGCCCTAGTACTCATAATATGCACTCGACCAAGGAGGACAGAATGATGAATGCGGGCATGGTAACAACTCAGACAATGGCTACTAAATAATACACACAGGAAACTCAACTTGTTTATGGATTTATCATGCCAGCATACAGGTAGGTCCAGGTCATAGAGAAATTGAACACAGCTAATCTTATATCACCATTAAATAAAAGGCGTGTGCTTGTGCAATGCAGACCTGGCAAACCATGGCAAGTAATTTGTTGGCTTCCCCACAAGCTGACGTCATTTGATCCATCACACCACACGGAGCTCCAACAATATGATTTTCAACCTGTCAGAAAAGGTTTTATATGTAAGGTAAAGGAAAATGATATATATTGACCACTATATGATAAAATAAGACTCAAGTATTATACCTTCTGGCAAAGCAGTGCAAGCTTCCTTGGACTTATGTCTAGCCCTGCACAGATTAATAGCAATCCTGTTACTCACAGAGAAACTAATGCAATCAAACACTACTGTGGTAGTATAAGGCATAACAACACGTATCTTATAGACACACTGATGTATGCTGACAGTTTGTCATGCAGCCATGTCAGTATCAACATGAGACTTCCTGGATAATGCTTGATACTTGTATGACACTTCTCTTTAACTGAGAATGCATACCTGACATGTTGCATAAATATTATTACACAATTCTAATTTTCAGACATCCTCTGGATACTTCTTGAGCGCTGTTTTCGTCCTAGTTGAATACTTCATGTCTATGCATTCACAAATTCTAACATTCATTTCCATCAAAATTTCATAAATGTTAAGACATAGCAAGCTACAAAAAGAAACTGAAGGAAAATACCTATTTCTATACTTCTTTAAATGTATAGAATGCTTATGTCTGCTATATGCACATATTATATTATTTTTATCATAAGAATGTATAGTGCATGTTTTCACCTTAACATATTCAGGTACATGCAGTATCCATACCCTTTCACGATTTACAAAATCAGTGTACCTATGTCCAAAGAACTAGGCACATACAAGTAGAAAAAGTATTAGGATAGCATTACTGCAGTTGGTAAACTAAGGATGGTATTATGATGTTATCAACGATTATTAGAAGACATGTTAGATAATGCTGATAATTTGGTATTAGTAGATTTAGTAGATATTATGAGATACTGTTGAGATATTATATTATGTGATCAGATATACTTTTATCTCGTACCTATTTTGTAATATCCTTCCAATCTCTGTTTAAGAGAGGTTAGGGCTAGATGAATAAGGATCTTTTCCCTTTTCTATTTTCTCTACAGACTATATGGCCCCTACCTATTGAAGGGATATGTTGGAAAGAAAAAGAACACTTGGTCAGAGTACATTGCTAAATTGAAAGGAAATGATTATTCATGGAACCAAGAGGGTTACCCTTGGATAAAGAATCGTGTGAAATATGGGCATGAGTAGAAAGGAAGCATAGACGTATAAAAGAATAAAGATCACAAAGATGAAGGATAATAGTGATACAATCATGTCTCCAGAGCTTCCAAAGTCACTGTGAACAACTTGGACCATATACTATCCTGTTCACAACTACTGTGCATCTGCAAAGTTACTGCAGATCATATAAAATACTAACCATGAGCAGCAGCAATGGCAGACATGGTTGCAACCTCCACTGCTGCAGAAGAAGAGACGCCTTTGCCTTCTGGAACAGCAGATGAAACCTGACACAAAGTGAAGCAGAAAGCATTGCATTTGTTCTGAGGAATAATTTCTAGAAGCTAATCATCATTGTTGGAAAATTCCCGTAAGACAGGAATAAACTATTTTGAAGCAGAGAAAAAAAATGTTTTGAAGAATAATTGAAATGTACACACACACACACACACTAGAGAGCAATTTAACTCTTGCTTACTGCAACAGCGTTTGAGAACTATAAATGTAGGCTGTCCAGACTTTACATAGTAGGTGGTAAATTATGAAAAAAATTATGAAAATAACCTTACAACTGACCTAGTGTGATTTTTTACAACAGATGAAAAACTTGTATTTGAAACGAAAATTGTGTTGCTAATTTAGCAACAACTTTTAACATTACAAGCCTTATACCACTGGGGTTCTCTCTACTTGGATTTATCAACCTACAATAACATACAACATCAAAGCCTTTATCCCAAATGTTTGAGGTTAGCTACATGAATCCTATTATTCCATTTCATTCTATTATGGTATATCTCCTCCGTTAAGTTAAACATTATCATATCCTTCTTAATAGATTCCAACCAAGTTCTTTTACGTCCACCTCTAATTTTCCTAGCCCCATTAACTATAATACTACACTTTTCCTAACTAGTGCACCAAGAGGTCTCCGTTGTACATGACCATACCATCTTAGTAGATTCTCTCTCATTTTATCATCAATAGGAGCAACCTCTAATTTACTACGAATGTAGTCAATTTTTTTATCTTATCTTCTAGTGTATACCCACAAGACCATCTCAACATTCTTATTTTTCCTACACTTGTCTTTTGCACATGTTATTTTTTAATTGCCCAACACTCTGACCCATAAAACATTGTTGGTCTTATAACCGTCCCATAGAATTTCCCTTTAATAAGCATGATGACATGCATAAACAGATAAATTGCATTCTACTAGTTAACCAGGCGTGTCGAAGCCCTTCATAAGATGAAGATGAAGTAATACTTAATTGAGATGATATGCTAAAAGATTAGTAGGCAAGTTGCAAAAATGCCCATCCAAACCATATAATTTGCTAAAGGTTTAAGGTATCAATACATTGATCTTTAATGAATGCAAATTTGAAAGAGAAATCTTTTAAGCATATTTAATTAGCTTTTCTCTAAGGGGATGTTTGGTTGGTTTCCTAAAAATCAAGAAAAGGAAAATGGTACATGGAAATCAATAAAATATTATTTTCATCCATTTCCATCCCTAAAACTCACCACAACATCCAATAAAATATTATTTTCATCCCACAACTCATCTCATATCATCTCCTAAAAATAAACCAAACACAAGAAATGAGTCACATCATTCAACTCATCTCATCTCCATCACATCTCATCTTTAAAAATCACTCACATCATCCAATAATATGATAACTCATCTCATCTCATTAACATTTCATTTTCACCCATTTCCTCCAAAAAAAGCTAAGAAATCAATTTCCTTTAAGTGTGGGTCACATCATCCAATAATATAATGACAACTCATCTCATCTCATCTATTTTCTTATTTTTATGAATGAACCAAACACAAGAAAAGAACCTATTACAGGAAATAAGTTTCTTATAATTTATTTCCTTATTTTTTTAGCCAACCAAACAGCCTCAAAACAAATTTTCTTAAAAAATCACCACATCATCCAATAATAATGTGATAACTCATCTCCTATTCTTTGATTTCCTTCTTTTTTTAGCCAACCAAACAATCTCAAAATAATTTTTCTTAGAAATATGTTTCCTATTCTTTGATTTCCCTCTTTTTTTAGGCAAACAAACAACCCCTAAGAGTACAGGCATCCTAACACACATACATACATATGATGCAATTTCATATGCATATGACATTACTTAACTGGAGTATTTTTAAAATTTTTTTTGAGTAAACAAGTAAGAAAGATCGACAGAGAAAAAAAGCACACCAGTATGCAGATACTGTCAGTAAAGTGGATCTCAAGTTCAGTCATCAAAACAAGGATGGTCCCCGCAACATATGCAGCCCACCTGAAGGGGAAGACATAATATAGTGAAGCCATAAAGAACAAAAGGATGAAATTAATTTAATGGAAGACATGTCCCACTTTTGGGAGGGATCTTGTGCAAAGTACTCTCTGGCCTTCTCATATGACATTGGTTGCTCACCATCCATCAAATCTGCGAGGTCCATGTCGAATGTAGGTGCACGATTACTTAACTCAGATCCAAAAGATACCTAAAAACAGCTGGGAATTAGCAACAAATTTATTTGTGAAATACAAAGTCACAAGTATGAGTACAATCCATTTGCAGGAATGAAAATTTGAATATAACAATGAAGTAAAAAGGGGAGAAATTTATATTCTAAAAAGTTTGATGTCTCATTCTGAAAGAAAAACTAAGGGTCTCAATACTATCTTTATCCGGATTATTCAGTAGGAAAAATGCTTCCAATAGTGATTTTGAATTCTGCAATTACAACCGGTGCATTACTCTTTACATGATCCCCAACACACCCTAGCCCTACCCCGTATATTCGTAAGTTTGATTTCTCATTCTGAAAGAAAAACTAGGGGTCTCAATATTATCTTTATCTCGATTATTTAGCAGTAAAATACGTCCAATGTAATTCTGCAATCTGCATGTTGACATTGGAACCGGTGCATTAATTTTTACACAAGCACCTCCTTCCCCGACCCCTAACCAAACACATGAAAAAGAAAAAGAAAACGAAGAGAGGAGAAAATGCCTATATGCCCCTCTATTTTCAGTGTTGAATTGCTTATCCACACAGGAACTTCCATTCATGCCCCATCCCTCCTCATAAATTTTCTGCTGTCAGAATATTAGAAGACAAAATCTTATCATATTTATCTTTTCCCTTAAGATTCTAAGTGATAGAATGTGGTCATAAAAAATAAAAATTAGCATCATAAATTAGAGAACTGAGATTTAAAGAATAACATTATTAAAAAAAAATTCAGTAGCAAGTAGCACTATCCATATTGAGAAATTAAGACAATGTTATGAAATTAACAAAATTAATAATGTTGTCTTACTAGAAGATTATGTACTTGTAGTATACTTTTACAATAACTAAAACTTGATTATCCCTCTCTGAGGTCAAGTCACTTTTCCAATATAACATGATTCTAGAAATATCATTGTATCATGTATTGTAAAGCCTTTTCGTACAAATACCCTGATGACATAACACTGAAGTAGAAAAGAGTTAATTAGATTCAAAACTAGCTCATTTCAAGTGAATCTGCCAAAGGAATAGCCTAAATTCAGTTAACGTAAATGAGATCTCCACTAGCAAGCCCTTCAATGCTTTCACCACATGTCCTAAAGGTAGCGTTTGAGGTTAACCTCAATCAGTGCTGTGTTTCAGGCAGACAGCAGAAAAAGTGACCCTGGTAAAATGACACAGCATATGAGCTTCTTCATATAGTAACTGACATTCTACCAGAATGGAAGCCTAAGATACACGACATATCAACAAGGAGGATGGCGGTATTGCCATGGTCGAGGTCGGAAAAAGCGGTAGGTTGTTTTTTTTTTTTTTTTTTTTTGGGGGGGGGGGGGGTTTGCATGGCGGGGCTAGAACAAGGGTAAATTAACATTGTGGTTGTCCTTGGGCTCTATGGAAGATTTTGGTCAGCAAGATGAGTGAAAATTCTATGCAGCATCTGTGTGCTGAAAACACAACTCATTGACAAACAGTCTGGAACTCATTTGACCAGATAATTTCCTTCAAAAAAAGTTTCCTAAATTAAAAGTCTGCCACATAGTCAAAGCTGATAAAATTATTATAAGAAATTCCTTCATTTCTAAAGTTATCAGCAAAAAATGACATACAATCTGCAGAACTGGTAGGGGTCCCTCTCCTTTTGCCTGTTGTCGTGCTTGAGCATGTTTCCAGAGCTTGTGTTTGCTAGGATGATTCCTTTGAACAGCAACATGACAAGCCTCTCTAATTGGCATCTATCAATGAAAAAAATAAAATTTTAATCCAAAGTCATTATAACAACACAGATTGGTAATAATACCATCAACCACTAATCTGTGAACAACTTGCTAAAATGGAGTAACGAAATGCAATATATGAACTGAAAATGTAACCTTGCAGCAGCTTTATTGAAATGTATTTGTTTAAGTGGTTAGAATTCTATGGAGTTTTTATTACAATCTCATGCAGTTAATGTAAGCAAGAAAATATGTTACAAATATGTATGTATACATATATACAAGGGATGTAACTGTACGACAATGCTATCGGGGCTATTACTATTACTATTTACGTACCAGTATTGGAAGTTTCAGTGATATCAACAATTGCAGATTGAAAAAAAATCAGACTTTCCATAAAGAGTGACTAATTTTTCTTCTTTAGTATAACTAAGTTATTCTAAAAAGTAATTAAAATTTATGTAAGTTAAGATGAGTTTCTTTTAATAACCGATGGAGTTTCAATTAGGTTTCATGTAATCATGTATTCAGAGCAGGTATTGAAATTCCTATTAATCATTGTAAATACATAATGTAGAATTAGCTGAACTTTACATATAACAAAAAAAAAATTAGTGATTAAACTTCTCATAACAATACTGCTTAGCTTGTTATATAACTTCACAACAGATATATTTTTTCTTAATTTTACGACAAATTCGTTTTAACACTTTATTTAACAAATTAACGTTTTGTCAGAAATAACCTCTTTAACCTTGGTTTGCACTTGGTTAATGGTATTATCTAATAGGTTATTATTTGTTTGCAGAGTTTATATTTCTGTTAATATTTCTTAAGCTAACAAATTACAAATAAACTACTTGCTCATGTTAATTTAATGTCGTCAAATGTTGACTTTTTAACATATGGTCAGCTTATTATTTGTTTGCAGAATTTATATTTCTATTAATTTTTTAATGTTTACCTGAGTTGCTTGTATTTCTGTTTTTTATCTTTAACATAATGTGCGCATTTTAAAATTTTGTAGTAGTGACCTTTCCTTGTTATCTTATGTGTATTTTTGTTACAAAACTTTGCAATCATATTTACTTTTGTATAATATCCTATTTTGTGATAGGATAGACCCATCTAAAGTGTAATACACTGGTAATGCTTGGGTATTTCATAGTTGGGATTTCAATTAATTGTTTATTTAGCGTAAGCAAGACCTCTTAAAGCAAAGTGCAATTGGACATGGAAAGGGAAACTACTTCCACCAAACTGAACAGAGCCATAGTTTCCCGTAATTTTTTTCCCTCGTTCTTTTTGGGAGCTTAATTCTCTTTAGAAAATGGTTGTCTTGTTTACTGGAAAAGAAATTTTCGTACAATCAAAATTGCTTAGTATTTTGTGTATTCAGTTATACATAATCTAGTTTGACCATTTTTTAAAAGGATTTCTCTATTTTTTTTTTTGCATGTTTAAGAGTTATTGAATATACAAGATGATGCATGCCCAAGGCCATTGAAGACTATCTTGCAGAAATTGGTGCAAACACCACAGAAAATTCAAGAGTCGGAAAGAATTTGATAAAATTTCTACCGGATGACATGAAGATCTTCGCAACAGATGCTTATTTGACCTTGTTTACTTTGACTCTACAATCTCAAAACTGGAACCTCAACAATCTGTACGATGTGAACTTATATGTTGAGATAAGCTAACCTGCAAAACAAGGCTTCCTGAATAATCTGCAATTCCTCCCATTACATCCAATCTTCCAGGAGCCCTTGACACATAAATTTCCTCCTGAAAGTGAAGAAAAGGGAAGCCAAAGTGAAGAAGATTGATGATATAACTAGCAACAAATGCCGATCAACTACCAGAATTATGTTCATGTTCGACATGAATATACAGAAACATCACATGTCAGCAAACTGTGGGCACCCCTTCTATCTTAAAATTACACAATAAACTAAAAAAAAAAGAACTGGAATATGAAGAAATAAGGGGAGTTGTTAACCAATAAATAGCGACTGATAAAACCGAGAACAGAACTTAGTGCAAGTCGAGACCTTCCAATTAAAGAGTGCAGAAGCAGCATTACGCTCACGTCGTTTCTCAGTACTTTTTCCTGAATCAGTTCCATGATCAAGTCCTGACAAGGTGTTTAGGAAAGCAACTGTATCGGATAAACCATGCACCTCGCCATGAAGTATTTCAAAATTTTCAACGCATCTTGCAAAATGTCCATGAGAGAAGGTCAGTAGCTGATTAATATAGGTAGCAGATAAAGCACAAGAAGGTGTAATAGAAGTTTATAAAATAATTGTGAACTCACAATTCACTGAGAGAATCATTTCCGTTCATTTCTGCAGATGGCGAGGCTGGACGAAGACCAAGTTCATTCTCAGCACGTGTATACCAATCAGGAATGCTGAGATCTCTGCCTGGAGCTCTTTGTAACTGATATCCAAGTACTATAGCATCACGCAATCTCCTTGCGCCACTCAACTATACGCACAGTTTTCAAAAATCCAGTGTCATCTTATTGTTAATCAAGTTAATAAACAAGAAAAGAAGGTTAGAACTGCAGTATACAGATCATAGTTGCAAATAACACGGGAGACAGTAACTTAAAAGAAAAAACAAGGTTCACCATTATAAAATCTGATGATGAAAGAATTAGGTGAACAACCAAAAGGTGAAAGTAACGGTCAAGTAGTCGACACATGACACTTCCAAGCATTCAACTCTAAACCATTATGAAATAAATCAGGAAAGTCACCACATTAAATAAATAAGAGTTCCTAAGAATTTTAAAAATCACTGTGCTGGAAAAGGAAAAAATTATATTGCAGCCATAAACCCATAAACAGCAGACAAGTTGGTAGCCACAAAAAAGGGACAATTTTAACTTGGATATTTAAAGAAAAGAGGAAAGGATTCCTCAAAAATCTTCATATAGCAATAGCACATAATCTCTGCCTACTAGATGTACAAGCATAGAACTCCACAATCAATCAAGTGGCCACTTTAAAACTCTAGTAATAACATGAAAAAAAGGAATAAAACATCCGAACACCAAAGGAGCACCACACTTAACTGCATCATGCATAAGTAATAACTTATAGTGACATACCCTGTCTGATGCATGACTTTTACCCGCAGCAGTGTCCTGTAGTATGCGAGCGACCACCTGAGATTAAGAAACTGTAATTACTATGCATAGTTTTACCAAGAGAAAGTTAATTCACATAATATCCAATAAAAGAACTTAGAATGTGGCAATGCATGAGCAATACTATATTCTCATTATTTGTATAGAACGTACTCCAAAGCATGTGGAGCATATAAGGCTTGCAAATGACATTCATGACAGTTCATACGTTCATGATGTAAAGCTGCACTATATCATAACTATTGAACTTTGTGTTCATAGAAGAAATTTTTTTACCCAACATAGATATTCAAGCTTCTCTCACTTCAAATCTCTCAAGATTCAAGAATCTTTTCAAACTGAATTTCCCAATCAAAACTACACATTAAAATAAGTAAGCTTGCCCCCTTTTAACTGATCTATCATCTATCTAGAATCAACATGGAGCTTATGCATCTTATTTCCTTCACAAGGATACCATTTGATATTTTCATGTGACTATAAATAAGATAGCATGATATGTGAGCTAGGAAAGTCATCCATCATTTTCTGTTTCCCCACTTCAAGTGATGACTCCCATTTCTATTGCTTTTATAAAATAGAATGAATTGCATATACGGTGCAAAAAGAGTATAACAGATGATTATAATCTTGCAGGAAAATTAAATGAAATGATGGGACAAATTTAGGTAAGGAGAACACCTCTCCGCCATTAATGGCCTCATCATAGCATGGACTTAGAGTTAGTGCACGCTCAAGATAAGGTGTCCAATGGCCAGTTAGCAAATCTCTCCTGATCATCTCAACACCTCCTTGGTAATACTGCTTCGAAAGATGCGAGTCAAATGTGGAAGTTCATGTTAGATGCCACTAGACATAAAGAATTAATTAATTGTAATAGGGTGACAAAGAAGAATGAGCAAACCTCGAGCATATTCCTTAAAAAAGGTTCTTCATTGAAATAATCTCTGCGCACAAAGACAAATGGTAACTTGTATGCCAAAGCTTCACTAACTGTGCCATAACCAATTTTCCCTAAAATTAAAAATAAGATTAGATTAACGATATAGTTGCAGTATAAAGTCTGATCAAAACTGAAGATCTATTTTTTTCTTTAGTAGATTACCAAGCATGCAATCAGATGCAGCCATAAGGTCAGGTGTGTATGCATCTTTTGGAAGCCTTATAAAGTTTGAAGGAAGCTCTTGTTTGTCAGATGCACCACAGACCTGCACAAGACATAATATATTAGAATTATGAACCAGAGTTTCCATATTTAGCCAAAAAAAACATAACACGAGCACCCTGGCTCGGTATATCGAGGATGACTCTACCAGACATAGCCAACCAACAGGCAGCCACTCTTGCTTCAATATCCAACCAGCTGGCTGCATAAAAAGATAATAATGAAAATGTAAGTTTCTACATAAGGAAGATCTGCAGTCCTCAAATTGAAGAGTTTAAGGTAACACCACCAACAAAACAGCATAGACATGTACTGAAAGATAACGACCATGAAAATAGCGGTGTCAGTTTCCGAAAAGATCATGTAATCATCTCGAGCTTCCCTGAGAAGACATGTTTTCCTTAATCGCTCTGATATACACTTTAGGAATAGTGGAAAGGGCAGGTGCAAATTATTATCCATTGAAGTTAAAGGTTGATGCACACGTCAACCCAGGATCTCCATGACATATGTTAAAGTAAAGGTACAAGCATTGTATGTCCATTATTTGGAAAAAAATATGTACAAGTTAAATAGACTTAACGCATGTCGATGGACAGTATCAACCAAGTCCTCCCTGTGAAAATGGTCTCAACTGTAGCCAAATGAGATGCATAAACAATTTTTTAATCAAATTATACTTTTTATCTGAATTTCTGATTCGATTACAAAAAACAGTCAGCAGCCTGAAGTGACATGTCTATGGCTAAATCTACGAGGTCCGCAGGAAAAGAAGAATGATCACAGAAGAAGAATCAGAAGGCTTAAATGGATACCAACACGAATGATCTTTTATCGAGTCTGAAACAGTGTAACAGTAAAGCAAAGAACATCAAAGCTGTAGCTTGAAGAATTACACAAGTCAGATGAGATTCTTAGTTTTACTTCCTATACTGGTCTTTCCCATACTTGCATGACCTCACTTCTGCAGAATATCACAGACAAAAAGGAACTACTACAGAAAAATCACCAAAAATTTGTATAACCTACCTGTCCGCCAAAATTGAATATAACTAACTTCACATCCTCACCAATCCCAAGTTCCTTCCTCACCTGAACAAACAAGAGCATTACAAATAACTATATTGAAAATGTTCACAAGATAATGAAACTCTATTTGCAATGTTCACACCTCTGAACGGGATTTGTGTAACCTTCTAACCACCAAAGGCACATCAATTACATCTCGGAAAGCCGGCACTATAGAACACATATTCACAAGTTTAATTCGATTTCAACAGATATATACAATCAATATAGAGAAGCAATAAGAAAATCGAAGATTGGCGGGCCATATAACTTACTCGGGCAATATCCAGGAAGCCGCAGTAGGAACTCACAATGAGAATAATCTTCTGCTATCTGAAATATTATGAAAAGAGCAAAAGTAAGCATATATTGGAAATCATTTGTCGTCAAGGAGAACAATTGGATGGCATGTCACCTTGAATTGTCAGAGTACTTACATTTTTTTGTACTATCCATTTCAAGCTTTTCCATTTGTAACAGTTATATATGACACAACTAAAACTACACTGAGATGAATTAAGATTTTGAAAGAAGATATAAAACTAATTGTAGTGGAAGCTTATGCACAAAATAACAAGTCCCCCATATCCAGAAAATTGGGAAAAGAGAATTCCTAAACCCTAGACCTTACTGCCTTATGTAAACACAATCATTGATTCCTTTTTTAGAATAAATGTGAACCAAAAGCTGCACTAAATAGAATGTCAGCAAAAAGAGAGGGGAAAAAACCAATTTGTGAAATCGTTTTGTAGCAAACCAGTAGAAATTTGTGTTATAAATGTGCCAAGGGTAATTTTGCTGTACAATTTTCAGGTAGGTGATACAACTCAACATCACATTTCTCCATTTACAGATGCTGGATGCATCAAATAGTAAATTTGTTTCAAAATAACTATAATTACAAGAAATATTTGGCTATTCATGCAATCCTTTTTACATCAAACATGGATTTGCAGGGAAACAAGTAGCTTTAAGTACACCATATAGCTTAAAACTACACAAATACAGACTGTAACTATACTTCAAAAAGCAAATGGCCTAAGAAAATTTTCTGATTAGAACTTGGAACTATAGAGTATTTCAACTAACTAGACAACATGCAAACATTCCAGGGACCAAATGCCCACTACACAGTAAAGCATCACAGGGAGTTACCTAGGTTTAATGAGCACCCGGCGATGTTTTAGTCACACCACAAGCAATGCACATGGGCAACAAACCCACCAAGCAAAAAATCTAACTCACTTTGCCGGAACAATTGCTTCTTAAATTATTCCTATTTTTAATTACCTTTTATTACCATTATCATTTTATAGTTAATTGAGGCATAAACATCAAGACCTCAACAAATTAAAAGTCAAGAATTTACTTCTTAAGATCTATTAGTTAACGCATGAATAGAAGGAAAAGTACATGCGGAAACTAGTGAATCATGCTTGTTTTCTCCGATTCTTCCTCCCAACGCACACCCGTCCACCTCAATTTTATAATTTTCTTTTGTTTATGTTCTTCATCAACATTTTACCAAACTTATCCAGTGTTGATTTACAAATCTGACAAATGAACACTCATTAAATCCAAGTCTTAACATAAAGTTTATAGAATAATTACGTGAGAAATCAGCCAAACCGAAGAGAAGCACATGACACATGTAATAAGAATAGGTCAGAATATTAACATTTATTTCTATTTCTTGAGATTAAAAAATAAGTGTTAATATCCTCATCAAATTCTTGTTACAGTCAATAACTAAAGTAATTTTTCTCATGTGAGATAGAAAAAGAAATGCATGTTTAATGTATTGAAATGGTTTCATTTTCCTTTTTTTCCCCCTCTTAAAAAATAGGATAACCATAATACTGTATCAAATAGACTTGTCAACTCAAAGGAGACATGGTTACAGGTATAAATCCATTTCACGTGTTTCTTAAAAATAAATTAATAGATAATGTAAAAAGAGCACATCCAACCTTAACTATTGATAGACCAGATTCTGTAGTAACATAAGCTAACATCACAGATTACAGATAACTTTAAGAAAACATGTAGATAGCCCAGGTTCCTACTCCTTTTTTTTTCCTTAAAAAATAGGATAAGCATAATACTGTATGGTAAACTTGTCAACTAAAAGGAGATGTGGTTACAGGTATAAATCCATTTCACATGTTTCTTCAAAATAAATTAATAGATATTGTAAAAAGAGCACATCCAACCTTAAAATGTTGATAGCCCAGGTTTCTTTGGTAACATAAGCTAACATCACAGATCACAGATAACTTTAGGAAAACAATGAAGACTTTGGAAAGAGAGGGTCTACAAGCACACACGAGAAGAGTTACCCAAAAAATAATTGCAACATTAGGGCGAAAATTACCTGCCAAACAATTGAACGGTGATGATTTCCTGCTGCCATGACATATTCAGCATAAATAAAATCCCAGCTGCAACAGCAAAGAGAGAAAACAACTTCCTATTATGAGATATTTCATCGAAAATAACGGTCGAACAAATTCAATCTACATATAATCAGGTAGTTGCATATAACCCAGGGTTTGCAGACGAAAAAAATATTGATACACACACACACACACACATTATAACACCTAACGTTCTGTACCAACCATATGAAAAGTCATATTTACAAATGTATGGAAATTGTCACCGGCTTGAGTACATATATTTCACGATTCTTGTGCAACTCTTTAAAATGTATTTGACTGCAACAGCTGCCGAAAGCTTAACAGTCTTCTAAAAATACTACCTTGCCAGGATTGAAATATATTGGCTATAAAATGTTGGGATCGAATATAATCAAAAGAATAAAAACTTGAAATTGACCGAAGTCGCCATTGTCCTTGGGTCTCTCGGCAGCCTTCTTTTCTCCATTATCTTATAATAATGAGTCAGAACTTTCTTTTCCAGCAGGAACTATGCACTTGAGCAATTTTATCTTGGTTTTATCGCTTTTCACAGTAATCCTGCACATCTTAGCTTAAATAAATCTCCTTCTCAATTGCAAGTCACACCTCACCTCAAAGTTGCTTCAACACATATATCATTTAGAAGAGCATAACGAACTTCACCCACCACCAGGAGGTTGCGCTCCTTTATACACTCTTAGGGACCACTGATTCTGAATATTTATGTGATACAGTGATGGTGAGAACAGTTCTTAACACCGTTTTTGTATATCAGACACAAGAATGTCAATGCTACAGTGACAAATGAGGTCAGTTTGTTAATAGACCTCCATGCCTATGCTTTTAACTGTGGCCCTTAATCCCATCTCCCTCCATTCCTCCCTCTAGTTTAATTTAGATCTGATGATATTGTCAAAGTAAATATAACCCTCAACCTTCACCTCAACTTCGGGTTTTTGTAGTAGCAGGGTCTAACATGATAGCAGAGCTTGTCTCTCTTTCATTCCCTAACAATGCAACCCCCTTCCCCTCCAATCCCAGCCCTCCCACACAAAAAAAAAAAACCAATACACACCAATCAAAAAAAAAAAAAAAAAAATAAACCCTAACCCGCTCCCCTCTCTAAACTCCCTTAAACAACTCAGTATCAGAACTCTGACTGGCATTAGAGCAACCCAGGTTCATATAAGGTAAACGGGTTAATCTTATACGTTGAAAAACAGACAAGAAAGCATAATCAACTTGACAGCAGCATTTGTTTCATATCGTCTCACTGTTTTCCCGTCAGACTTAATTCTACTACAGAGCAGGGATCCACCGGGGATTAGAAAATTTTTGTAAACCAGTTGTCAATCTAAACCAACCATCTCTAGATTAGAACTTAATTCCCAGCCGATTGACATGAGAAAGGCTTTCCATACTTCCAAAAGATCATATGGTAACTTCCAGACTCTACTATACTGGAAGAAAAGTCTTGAAGGGGAATATACTAGTTTTGCTAGAGGGAATTACATTTAACACTGAAGCATAAATAAACAAAAAAGCAGAAAATATCCATGGCATAGCAATAAGATTTTATGCAAGAGAAAAATGGTATTCCAACATTGGATAGCAAGAGACAACAAAACAAAATATTATACCTGAAATTTGTAACACAAACAGAGTGAATCCCTGCATCTGCAGCAGCTCGACATGCTACTGGCACAACATCAGAAACCTGTCTCCATTTAAGTAATATACAAACACAACAAGTTAAATGAAATGTAGCTCCTGTTAAAAGCACAATTCAGGTACATCATTCAGATATTCAGTACAGCACATTTCAGAAGGTAACTACTGGAATAACACAAGACTTCAACAAGATAAATCAGATTATCACAAGGAAAAGAAATGGCAGCTACCACTAAGTCAGCCTTGATGGAATGCAGCCATTGCACTTCTGCTGCCAAAATATAAGGCCTTCGCACCACAGCTGTCTCGGAGTACTGCAGAGCTCAGAAGCATACAATAATAAGTTAAAGAAGCAACACAAATCCATACAGACACCAAACAAAAAAAAAAAAAAAAAAATCAACCCTAACCCGCTCCCCTCTCTAAACTCCCTTAAACAACTCAGTATCAGAACTCTGACTGGCATTAGAGCAACCCAGGTTCATATAAGGTAAACGGGTTAATCTTATACGTTGAAAAACAGACAAGAAAGCATAATCAACTTGACAGCAGCATTTGTTTCATATCGTCTCACTGTTTTCCCGTCAGACTTAATTCTACTACAGAGCAGGGATCCACCGGGGATTAGAAAATTTTTGTAAACCAGTTGTCAATCTAAACCAACCATCTCTAGATTAGAACTTAATTCCCAGCCGATTGACATGAGAAAGGCTTTCCATACTTCCAAAAGATCATATGGTAACTTCCAGACTCTACTATACTGGAAGAAAAGTCTTGAAGGGGAATATACTAGTTTTGCTAGAGGGAATTACATTTAACACTGAAGCATAAATAAACAAAAAAGCAGAAAATATCCATGGCATAGCAATAAGATTTTATGCAAGAGAAAAATGGTATTCCAACATTGGATAGCAAGAGACAACAAAACAAAATATTATACCTGAAATTTGTAACACAAACAGAGTGAATCCCTGCATCTGCAGCAGCTCGACATGCTACTGGCACAACATCAGAAACCTGTCTCCATTTAAGTAATATACAAACACAACAAGTTAAATGAAATGTAGCTCCTGTTAAAAGCACAATTCAGGTACATCATTCAGATATTCAGTACAGCACATTTCAGAAGGTAACTACTGGAATAACACAAGACTTCAACAAGATAAATCAGATTATCACAAGGAAAAGAAATGGCAGCTACCACTAAGTCAGCCTTGATGGAATGCAGCCATTGCACTTCTGCTGCCAAAATATAAGGCCTTCGCACCACAGCTGTCTCGGAGTACTGCAGAGCTCAGAAGCATACAATAATAAGTTAAAGAAGCAACACAAATCCATACAGCCCAATCTCACCAAAAGTAAAAGAAAATCCTGTAACTGAAACGAGCAATACTTTGTGGTAAGTATGAGAAGCATATGATAAGCTAAAGAACAAGTAGAAGTATGTTGTCTTATCCATCCATGATTTGAGTATACCTTCTGCAAGGAGGCCAGACGGTCCACTGTCAGTGCATCAGCTTGCACAGCTCCACAATCCAGCACGTCCTGTCACCCGCAACTTCCATTAAAATATCAACAAAAAAATTAACAGTTTCTCAAAATAAAATAAAATAAAAAAGGAGGAGGCTTCTCTCTATATTTCACCTTGCGAATGTGGAGGTTGGGAGACTGAATCTCGCTAGTAAAAACAAAGTCCGGAGCACCCGTAACAACATGAACTTCATGCCCAGCTACAATTAAATGCCGCACAACCTACATCAGAACCACGGATCCCAATTGAACTCAAGCGCTGAAAACCTTATCAAATAAAATGTACGGAGTACAAAATCAACAAAGGAAACACTGTACAAGTGTAAATTCATTTAAAATCTACTCAAATCTCATCTACCAATTTGATAATGATAACGACTTGATATCACCAAAACCCAAACAAAATTTTGCATCTTCTGACCCCATAATTAACACAAAGCCCCAAACTTTCTTTTTTCTTCATTCCGCTAAACAAGCATACAGCTTAATCTTGAGCTAGCCGTCTGCTCTCTACTCTGCAACTAAACTGCTAGTCCACTGATTCCGACTTTTAAACCACCGAGATTCATCAATATTCTAAGCTCAAACACTCAAATAATTGTTCATTGTCCCGAAATTCTCCACATTTTCTATCAAATATGCAATAATTTTCCAAACCAGAGATCTCCAAAAATGGAAGGGGGGAAAAACCAAAATTGTCCATCTGAGCAAAAAAGCAAATACTTCATTTCTAAAAAAAATGAGGATCATGGAACCTCAACAACGCGGGTGGCATGACCGAATCCGTGGCCGGTGACATAATAGGCGAAGATCAAAGGATCTCGATCACTCATCCCCATCAATCTTCTTGTCAATAGTTTAATCACAGGAAACAAGAGAAATAGACAAAGATTTCTCCTTTTATATAGGAAATCAAATCCCTAGAATAAAGGAAAGAATATCCACAATAAGAAAACTTTTAGCTATAAACACGCTTCCCCAAAAAGATCAATTTGGAATTTGTTGCGGATAAAAAGCAATAAAGACACTATGATGACTCAGCATCGCGTCAGTCGTCTAGCTCTCTATCACTCTTCTCAAAAACTACCCAGCGCGTATCTCAAAGCACGGCTCACCCTCATCCCTGTCCCCATCACCCAGCGAGAGAGAGTTTGTAGCGTCCACGGATCCAACGCCTCGCCCAAGCGCGAACATCAAAGCAGCAGATCCATCACCGTCAGTGGCAGGGGGGTAAATAACAAAGAGATCGGTATACTTACGTCGACAACCCTAGTTGCGTGGCCGAACCCATGGCCGGTGATGTAATACGCGACGGCGAACTTCCGCCGGCCGCTCGCCGGCGCCGCTGCTGTTGAGGACCACCGCCACCATCTCGATCTCGAAAATTAAAATTGAACGGAAATGCGAGTGGAAAGGACTGGAGAGGAATTTGGATTTATAAGGAGTGGGCCGGGAGAAAATTTCTCCAACCGAATTTGGGAGAGATCCGAGATTTTGGGGATAAAAGGATTTGATCTTTTCTAAAGTGGAGCTCCGAGGAAATCTGGATTTGTTTATGGATGATAATTATATTATAAGGGGTTGAATTTATTTATTTATTAATGGATAATGAATCAATGATGGATATAACAATTTTTTTTTATAATAACGTAATATGATGTGATGTTTGCTGGATCATGAAGTTTTTCTGATCCGGAGAAACGGGCCAACACCGAAGTGCCCATGTGGCTTTTGTTTATTTGATTTTTGTTATCCGTAGTGGTAATATTTAAGAAAGTATTATTATTTTTAATAATTAAATAATATATATATTATTGAAGACGAGAACGTCGATGAAAACATTGGATATGCGGTTGATGGAATTTCGACATGAACTAATAAGGTATCCGAAGAGTAATTACGTAAAGAAGAAAAAAAGGGAAATGAAAATGAGATATACTTGTCAATTTTGTTACTTTGGAGGCAAATATATCCATGAAATCAACCTCAAATTTTAGTATTTGTAGAACTACCCCTCAAATCACCCGCTTTGTTAAAAGGTACCTCTAAAATCAACATATCATTAACTTGGTATTAAAATTGTCAACTATTTTGTTGATAATTTTTATATCATGAGTACAAATTAGCTAATCAAAGTTGATGATTAATTGTTTTGATGTTATTTTTTTCTAAAATTAATGATTTGAGGGGTAGTTTTTGCGATTGCTTAGCATTTAAAGGGTATTTTTACAAATACTAATAAGTTAAGGGTATACGTAAAATACTCTTTTCTCAAGACAATGAAAGAATTCCCACCATGAATTAATGATTAAGCACTACTCTATAGAGCATGGAGAACAATTAGATGTCAATCGTAAACTTAAAACTGATGGTTGGAATTGAAATATGTTCCTAATTTTTGTGTTCATAAAATATACGGATTTGATAGAACAATTATATCATTCGGACTAACGATCTTGGGACAAATATTCATCTTAATCATGAGTGAGATTACTCTTATTCATAAACACTAATAGAAATTATTGTATTCCTAGAGCTAGGGGTGGGCGTGGGCTGGGCTGGTTCAGTCCCATGACCTGGCCCGCCGGGTTCAAGGTCGGGTCGGACCTAACCTGGGCCCAGCTAGGTTAGAGTGGGTTGGATCCGTTTTTCTGATTGCGGGTTTAGGACTGGACCCAACCCAACCCACAACCACCTGGGTGCGGGACGTGTCTGACTCGGCCCACGAGCCGGCCCATGGGTTTTTTCATCCAACTTTTTTTCCTTTTTTTATATTAAACTTGTATTTATAATTATAAAAATCTTTATTTTTTAGTAATTTAAACTTGTATTAAATAATTTTTAAATTTGTATTAAACTTTGTAATCCTTCCAAGTAGACAACAACGACCTTAAAGATTGTTGTTTTGTTTCTAAGTGGGACAAAATGTCCACGAGCCAAAGACCTATGGTCTTTTGGCAGCTAGTTGCAGACCTAAAAAGCTAAAGGAACATCTAGTCTAATAAAAAATATCACAGGTCGAGGTGAGTCGAGTCGGACATGGGTCGGGCCAGTGTGGGCCGGGTGTACTTCTCTAACCCTGGGTTTGAGGTCGGATCACGTCCAGCCTGTGACCCAGGTATATCATGGGTCTGGTTGGACCCAGGCCATTACGGGCTGGGTCGAGTCG